TTTTGGGCAAGCCCGGTTGAGATCAGTATAATCAACGCACATTCTCCATTTTCCATTATTCTTTTTCACGAGTACAACATTTGACAGCCAGGTGGAATACCGGGCTTCAGAAATAAAATTTGCCTCTAGGAGGTCTTTTACAGCTTTTTCAGCAGCCTCCGTTTTTTCTGGAGACTGCCTACGCCTACGTTGTACTACGACCCTAGCGGCTGGATCAATGGCGAGGTGGTGACAGGCGACCTCAGGGTCGAGTGCGGGCATCTCCACAGCGCTCCAGGCAAACAGATCAGCATTCTCGTGCAGACAGGCCTTGATTTGTTTCCTGGCCAAGTCGGGGAGGTCTTTGCCAATCTTCACTCCCTTGGTCGGGTCTGTGCCGAGGGGAACGAGTTCAAAATCCCTGTCCGGTATTGGTCGGAGTGGGATTTGCTCGCTGCTGGATGGCTCGTCCTGATCGAAGCGGGTGTCCAGAGCTATGGAATCGACCTTTAGTGGGGCTTTCTGAACTTCCTCCTCGGGGGATGCTTTCCTGTCGGGCTCCTGTTTTGTCCTTTTGGCGGGTCTGGTCCCTATGTCGACGGTATCCCGTCCCTTAGAAGCGGCGTTGAAGCACCCGCGGGCAGCGGCTAGGTCTCCTTGGATGGTGGCTACCCGTGCCCTCCTGGTGTAGAACTTCATCTTCAGATGGACGGTCGAGGGCACCGCTGTCAATTCTGCCAGTTTCGGTCTCCCCAAGATGCAGTTGTACAGAGACGGGCAGTCAATGACGAGGAAACGGACTTTAACTTGTCTCGTAGCCGTTCCTTCGCCGAACGTAACCAGGAGCTCGACATAACCCCAAGGTTTGGAAGTCGAGCCGTTGAAGACTTGTAGATCCGACCCCACATACGGAGAGAGATGTGAGTCGTCCAGCTGTAAGGTTCGGAACAGCTGGCTGTACATCACGTCGACGGAACTCCCTTCGTCGACCAGGATGCGATGCAAGTCAAAATTGGCCATTCTTGCCCTTATCAGTAAGGGGATGACCGCATTTGGGGCTCTGCCAGGGAGCTCTTCTAGGTAGAAGGTGATGGGCTCTGACCTGCCCTTCACCCTTTCGAACGTTATTGTTTGCGGGGGAGCCGCGTCGACCAGCTCGTCCAACTTCCTCTTAGCTGAATTGATGGTGAGGTCGTTGAACCCGCCCCCATTAATGACCATGGCGGAGGGAAAGTATTCCCACCTGCTGTGTGTCGTCAGCGGTTCCTGCAGGTGCTCGGGAATGTCGAAGTCCTCGGGCCTGGTCACCGAGAAGGCGGTCTGGATAGGCACCGACTCATCTGATGGTCGGGCGTCTTCTTCTGGCTCCTTGGCTTCATGGGCGTCACGACGAGGAGCGTCGTTTCGCCGGTACTGCGCGAGCCTCCCTCCCTTGATGAGGGTTTCAATGGCGTCCTTGAGGTGGACGCAGTCCTCTGTCAGATGGCCATGACTCCTATGGTATTGACAATATTTATTTTTGTCCGCCCCAGGCTTGGCGGGAGCAGGTCGGGGACGCTTGACGCCACCGTTCTTGAAGTCTGTACTGGCACACTCCGCCAGGATACGCTCGCGGGAAGCTGTGAGCGGAGTGTATTCGGTGAAACGGCCCAAGGGGCCCCTTTGTTCCCGGACTTCCCGGGGTCTGTCTTCTTTCCTTTTCTCCCCGGTTCGTCGAGGAGGAGCCTCTTGGCGCGAGCTGCTGTTGTTGGGACCCCGAGTCCTGGAATCTCGGGCCCTGTTGGCTGCTTCCCTCTCCTCGTAATCCATGTATGCCCCAGCTTTCTCGAGGAGGGCGTCGAAAGACCTGGGCGGCTCGATTCCCACAGCTTTTCTGAACTTTGTGCTGGGGAGGAGCCCCCTCTCCAGCAGATATCTCTTCATGTGGTCCGTGCAGGGGACCTGTATCGCTTCTCGGTTGAAGCGGTTGATGAACTCCCTCAAGGTCTCATCCTGTCTTTGGATGATGGCCTCGAGCGCCGCCTCGGTCTTTGGATGGCATCGAGAAGCGGTGAAGGAACTGATGAACTGGTTCTTCAGGTTCCGCCACGAGGTGATTGAGCCCGGGGCGAGCCCTTTGTACCAGTCAATGGCCGCCTTCCTGAGAGTCGTGGGGAAAAGACGGCACTTGATGCCCCCCCGACATTATGATAATGGAGCATGGCCTCGAACCCGTCAACGTGGTCGACCGGGTCCGCAACTCCGTCATACTCCTTCAGATGTGTGGGCTTCTCCATGCCCGGGGGGATGGGTGCATCCATGATGGCCTGCGACAGGGGACCGCGGGGGTCGTCCTCGTCGCTCCTCTCCGAAGACAGAGATGAGGACCTGTAGTATTGTCTGGCACGGTGGTCGTGCTGAGTCTCCCTCGAGCGTGATGCTCGTTGGTTGAATGTTACACGGCCGTCTCTGGCGTGTCTCTTGTCGTGCCTCGCCGGGTCGCGACTGGGTTCTCCGGCGGGGATGACAGGATCTCTCTCCAAATAGGGTCGCCTCTGCTTTGGCCGGGGAGAAGGGCTTCTGGATTTTTCCCTGTAGTGTCTCCGCGGGGGAGAAGGGTGTCGGGCTTCAGTCACCCGAGGAGGGGGAGTATGTGGTCTCCGATGTCTCCTCGAGGGTCTTCGCTCGTCCTCAAGCGCCTTTAATCTCTCTCCTTGGGCGAAGATGAGATAGTTCGTTTGATTAATTGCTGCGAACAGCGCTTGTGTGGTGGCATCCGCCCCGGAGGGGACGGGGACTTCCTGAAACCGGGCGGCTCTGTAATGGGCGAGGGCCGCCGGGTCGTCCTCGAGGGGTGGTGGGAGCGAGGAGGATGATGCAGTAGCCCCGTCCCTGTATGAGGAAGTTCCGGGGACGGTTGTTGTAGGAATGGTGTTGTGGTCGGGATTGCCGGCGTTGTCGAGATGTCCGTTCTTGTCCGTCGTGCCGTTATTAGTGTCGGCGACACGGACGCTCTGCTCATCGCGAGCTGGATCAGCCATGACAGGTAGTTGAATATGAGCTTTGGTCTTTTGAGTTGTATGTAATACGGGGAAGCTAGTTTCCCACAGACGGCGCCACTGATCTAACCTGATCAGACTTGGACCGTCACGGCTGGCTCCGAGCTGAAAGTTTTGAACGAGGTGTGGGAGGGGGGGGGGGGGGGGTACCTGCAAGACACTCCGATGCTACAGTAAGTAAGAGCACGAGCAGGCAAATAGTAAGTATGGGTAGAATGATGAATACCTGACCCTCTGGAAACAGAGGGTATTTATAGCCCCCAGCGCTGAGCCAAGGTTCCTTCATTGGGCCGGGCAGGTTTGGCCCAATGGAGGAACTTCCAGGTTCTACGTGCGTAGTGGGGACCCGCACGTGGTCCCCTCCCTGGATATTCGGCGTGAAGTGCGGACGGACAGAGACGCGGTCTTTTCGGGGTCTCGTTGGGAGTGCAGTGGAATGAGTCTGCCCTAGTTGGGGTGCTCGCGGTGATGTCGAGCTGGACGGCAGGATGTCGAGCTGGACAGTTGGAGGTCGAGCAAGTAACCTCATGGAGCACGTCGGGCACGACTGTGTCCCTTTAGTCGGCGTGGTCCTCAACGAGTCCATTTGGATTGGACCCTATCAATGCTATTTGGGCCTGTCGGGCTCAGTCCAGAACACATATATTCATTGTTCTTCACGTAATAAATATGACTCTTGAATCATACATATAATATATTTACTATCTATATAATAGATTATTGTTTAAAATAATCATACATTTTTTTAATTGTTATATTATTTTATAGAAAATTAGCAATTACATTTGTTATCACTTTAAACTTGCACAACCAACATCACTAATATTAATCATTTGTGTGCTCTTTCATTTGCCTCAGTTTATTCTTTTGTAGTTTTTTTTTTATATATTTTAAATTAAATTATAATTTTAGTCCCTCAATTTGATCACTCTTTCACATTTTTTTTTAAAGAAAATTAATAAGATGTTTATTTTTAAATTTGTATTATTATCTATAACGTTCTATAATATATTTATATATGATTTGTTATATTTCACAAAAAATTATCATTTAAAATATAAAAACATTAGTAATTTTGAATGCAAAAGAATGAGAAAAAATAAAACTATTTAAATTTAAAATAAGAGAATCAATTTCGTGAATCAATAAAATAAAAAGACCAAAATCATAATTAAATATATTTTTTACTTTATTATTTTTTTTATACATCAAAATAAAATACTTTGGAAAATTACTAAAATTATCCTATACAATCTAATATCCTACAAATTTTTACAAATACTACATTTATTATTAAAAAATTGGCTTTCATATATATATAATTTTACAAATCTTTTGGTCAAACATTAAATAAATTTTTTATAATATACCAAAATATTAAGAAGCTATTTGAAAAATATTTTTAATTAAAAATAATATTTATAAAATTAATTTTGAAATGGCAAGACGCCGTTAGTATATGATTAATGAAATAAAGTAAATAGAAAGAGAAATTATTTTACAAAATAACATATCTCTTATCTATAAAATGTTATCAATTTTTATCTATCTATTACCAATACATTTGAGTCTCTATACCCTTGCTAGAGGAACACACAACTATATTTTTTGACAAATACAAAACATATCTATTAATATCATATTACATTCAATATCATCCAACACATTTTTAGTAACAATATGGGGAAAATTCCAAGATTATTTACAATTTGTTTTTGTAATTTATAATAAATGTGAAAAATCCTATTCGGCATATAATTTTTTTTATTATCTTATTTATTGTTTGTTAAGGGCGATATGAACATTTCATAAATATAAATATGCAGAGGTGCTATAGGTATAGATAGGGTTGTACAGAAATCTCGACAGTGAGATATTGGGCTTTTTTGGAAACATTTATTGGGCCGGCCCAATGATAGTTCAGTTTAGGGTTCAAGCTACTACTGCTAGTGTCGCCTGCGCAATCGTTAACTGTCATCGGCGATGGCTTCCGCGTTCTGCAAATCAGCGGTGAGAGTAGCCTCCACCTCCTTCGCTAATCGTTCTAGAACCTTCGCTCAGAAACCTTCGATTCCACTTCTGTTTTCCTCGCAAGTTCCTCGTGTTTCAAGGTAGAGCAACGCATTTCTGCTTCAATTTTTTCAGTTGTGCTTATGGAGTTGAATTTTGATGGCGTTGACGTGTTTGTTTTGAAGGATTTTATCGGTTGTTGGAAGCGTTGAATCATTGATGCCTCTTCATAGTGCCATTGCTGATGCCAGACTCACTTCTAATATCGCTTCTGATTCCACTTGCTGGAGCTGGCTTTCTCAAGGTACTTCTTCTGCTTGATTATGTGTATGAAATGAAGCCTTGGATTAGTTTACATAGTTTAAAGATAAGTATTAGCTTTAAATATGATTTTTTTGTTGTAAGTAGACCAAGTGTTAATAACCACTAGAAACCCGCACATAACCATGTGTATCAATCTAAGTTATGATATTGGAATAGAACTCTTGAAATTGCATCACTGTCGAACCCGCTCTGTTTACCTGTAATCGTAAAAGAGATGTCATTGATACTATTCCAACATCTTAGTAATGTCTTAAAAGTTGTTTTCTAAATTTGGTTTTTGTTAGACAATGGTTTAAATGAAAAACATTTTTTAATTCTTATTTTGTATATGGTGTAATTCCACAAAAAATATTTAAGACAGTTGTTTTTGGATGGCGTATGTGCTTTTGGGTAGGTCTGATATACAACAAAGGTTCTGTTTGTGTCTCAAACGGACTTGGTTTCCATTGGTGCTTTATTAGCTTTGCGAGTCCTTGATTCAGTTCACCCTAACTTTGTGATGTATTTTAATTTTTTTGGTTTATGTTCTGGTTTTTTAAGGTTAATTGGCTTGTCAGCAGGGGGTTTATGCATTTTTATTAGGTTGTGGAATGACTGTTTTGTTTTGGAGAATTGGTTTCCATTCTGCATCTAGAACTGCAGAGGAGATTTTCTATTTGTCTCAGTAATGGGTGCTGGTTCTTTTTACTTGTAGTAAGGAATTTTAGTTGCAGATTTTGCTTTTTGTCTTAGGATCGCATTTCTTAAATTTTAATTTCATGCCTCCATTTCATTGGCTTCGATTTTTTTGAAAGGTTAATTGGTTGGCTGACTTTGTAATATCAGTTCTCATGGTTGTCTGCTAACACTTCTTGTGCTTACTTTGAATCTTTATTACTACATTTTGATGATTTAAAGAAAAAAAGAGTTCCAACACCATCAAAACTTTTCCATGCATCTCCACCAATGCCCTGCATCATAGTACTCTCTTTGTGTTATGCACTTTTCATACCCAAAAGCCTCAAATTTGTATGCAAAATAAACCAAATCTTCCGTCCTTTTAAGATTCAACTTATTTAGTTTTTAAAGAGTGAATGAATAAATAGATACTCCAATTCCTCTCACAACAAGATGAAGAGCTTTATTGTGCTTCGCATCGTGACATATCAGAATTTTTTTGTTCTTAAATAAAACTTTTTTGATACTTCTTTGAAAAGTATCAGGTGCAATCAAAAAATATTTGTGCATATTGTTGCTTCATAAACGTGTGTTAGATACTATAAAATTTAAGGTTACAATATTTGCTATGAAAAATAAAATAACTCAAATATTTGAAATATAACTTGATTCATGTGATAGTTTGTGTTGCTTTGGTCCTTCAAAATGTTTATCTGTACAAATCTGTTTCCAAAAGATGCAATTTGATAACACTGATATAGATTGCTATTTACCCAGACCCAACTATATTGCCTCAATGAGTCCCTCAATGGTATTGACATAATGTTATTTTACTCACTGGTGTAAAAACTAAAAATACTTAGGTATCAAATTCCTCCATTATAGTTATATCACTTTCAGGTGGGCAACTGATATGGTAATTAGTAATTACCTTTTTCTTCTCTATGCTCATCCTGATGATATCTTCTTTTACTTTGTTGTATAGGACTTGAAAAAACATTGTGACAGACCTGCTGGATCGATTCAAGATGAAAAACTATTTTTTCCTTGGTCTCACTGTATGATGGGAAAATAACTTCACAATTGAAATTTTGGTCACAGTAGTAGTCTGTATTCTGTGCAAACTGCAGACTTGTATTATTCAATTATCTTATTTGCTTGAAAGTTGATCTATATAGCCAACTTTGTTTCGTGAGAGAAGGCTTAGTTGTTGTTGACTGATAATCACACTCAAATTTTAGCCATGAAGTCTATCTAAGTTCCAATAAGTTAATTCTATTCTATGATAGATTAGGTTAATCTTAAGAAAGATTAACTCAAGTATAATAAGTTCCTTGTTGGTGTTTATAATTATTGGAAATATCAAATTTTAGTTCTTGTACTTAATTCCCCCATATTTTGCTTCCTCTTTTTGATTGTAATCCATATTTTTTCGCCCATATTTTGCTTCCTCTTTTTGATTGTAATCCATATTTTTTCGTTGGTGTCCTAGACTTTGCAGTTCCCCGGTGACAAAGACTAAAGAATTCAATCATTTCAATCCTTGTTTGGTTGCATTAAAGAGTTAACATTGGTTAACATCTTAAAATTGGCTTATTTATTTCCATTATGGCTGCCAAATTATCTGGATTCCCATAATTTAGTATCACAAACTCGTTTGAAAACATTTGTTATTGTTAGTAATGTAAACCTCCATAAATTCTCAAATTTGATGAGCTTAAGACCATTTCCTCTTTTGTTGTGGATATCACAAACGTCCAACATCTTCAACCGTCTGAGTTGCCACAGTATATTAGCTAGTAGAGTCTCATAAGTTGGGATTAACATTTGCTGATCATTTTTGACAAAGGTTTGGAAAAAATCTTAGCTTTGCGTAATCCTTACAATGTTATTCATGTTAAGGCACTATACATTAATATTTTGACTTTAGATGGATATCTTTAATGTTCAGTTTAGAAATTTGATGATTCCTAATGGTATCGTGTTTATACTTTAATATGTGTGATATTTTAAAAAAAATTTAAAAATAATATATTACATTAGCATATAAAGTTATATTGTTTTTTATATTTTTCAAAAATATTAAACACATTTAAAGATATAGAGATTTTTTTTAAATAACTATTTTTAAAAAAAAATAAATTTAAATAATCATATTTTCAAAATATTTACCAAAGTAATCATTTTTCAAACAAAAAAAATTTGCCACACAGAGGAGGTGTCACTATGTGTGGCACGTGCATATAAAATAAAGAGGAGACGTTATATTGTATGACTTGTCCTCCTATGTAATGTCATGCAGTGTGGCGCATGCATGCATTATTAGAGAGGAGGCGCCACCTCGTGTGGCTTGACAGTTGTATTTAATAATTTTTTTAAAATAAAAATAAAAGTAACTAAAAATATTTTATATTAATATTTTAAATTACAGATTGCATGAATATATTTTTTTCAGACGTCCCATCAACCTAAGCGGGTCTCAGTATGACATAAACGGTTCTGTCTTTGCCTCACTCCACTCTGTTGATTTTCCTGAGGTACTCCTCTCTGTTGATTTTCCCGAGGTGTTTGGAGTTTGTTCTGACTCGCTTGATGGTGAGGTGCTTGATGTGATGGTCCTGGTACATTAGGATCATACATCTCGTCGATCGGTAGGATGTGGAGGGTGCATATTATTGGTGGTGGGTCGGGTCATGCTCTTGGTATTGTGTTTGTGTGTGTGGCATGAATTGATGACGCTTTTGGTTGGATGTGGTGGTGTATGGTTGTTGGGTTTGAGTGGGTTGACATTGTTGAGTTTGATATTGATGAGGGGTTGGATGTTGGGGTTATTGTTGGGCGTATGATGCAGCTCTTTGGCGTGGGTCGATCAAATATGTTTCACGAGATAGAAACAAATTTGTTGAAACTGATGTGTACCATGTCAAATATTGGAAATTTCGTTTTAAGTCATCTTGCGAGATCGGCTCCCTTAGGACTAATTCACGTCGATGCCTCCATTGACGACATTGGTTTTTAGCGAAGTCTCTCAAATAATTAAATCCCCATTGATCGTCAATTATGAGTAAATGCCATTGTCCCAAACATGTTGGGGATCTAGGATACCCTGTTGCATGTCGAACTGTAACTTAACACGATCACTGTGGTGCATCTCCACATTAGTGAACCTGATAAGCGTTGTTTTTGCAGTCCAAACTTCAGCATCAGCTGGGTTAATCTCATGGTCGAGATTCTTATACGGCCTCCATACAAACTGTAGAGGAAAAAGAGTGTTAAGTTAATATTAATTTTAAACTTAATCAACCTATTGAAAGCGTTGTTTCTTTGTTATTTTTTGTTTCAATAAATTACCTAGTAGCTTGGGGTTTATTAACTGTTGTTACACATTTTTTTCTTCCTTGTTTTCATGACATATGTTAGTTATAAATCCTTTGTTTGTGCTGTTTTTTTATCAATAAATAACCTAGTAGATCGGTGTTTATTAGCTGTTGTCACTTATTTTGTGCTTCTTTGTTTCTATGACTTATGTTAGTTATAAATTTTTTGTTTTTGTGTCACTTTTTTCTTTCAATAAATTACCTAGTAGCTCGATGTTTATTAGTTGCCGTCATTTTTTTCTTCTTTGTTTCCATGGCTTATGTTAGTTATAAATCCTTTGTTTCTGTTTTGTTTTTTCTTTCAATAAAAAAATCTAGTAGCTCGGTATTTATTAGTTGTCTTCACTTATTTTTTTCTTCTTTGTTTCTATGACTTATGTTAGTTATAAATCCTTTATTTATGTGATGTTTTTTGTCTCAATAAATCACCTACTAGCTTGGAGTTTATTAACTGTTGTCACTCATTTTCTTCTTCTTTGTTTCCATGACTTATGTTAGTTATAAATCCTTTGTTTATGTAATATTTTTTCTTTCAATAAATCACCTAGTAGCTCGGTCTTTATTAATTGTTGTCACTTGTTTTTTCCCTCTTTGTTTCTATGATTTATGTTAGTTATAAATCTTTTGTTTCTGTTCGTAAATCACCTATTAGCTCGGCGTTTATTAGTTGTTATCACTTATTTTTCTTCTTCTTTGTTTCTATGACTGATGTTAGTTATAAATCTTTTATTTATGTTTTTTTCTTCTATCAATAAATCATCTAGTAGCTTGGAGTTTATTAATTGTCGTCACTCATTTTTTCTTCTTTGTTTTCATGACTTATGTTAGTTATAAATCCATTGTTTCTGTGCTATTTTTTTCTTTCAATAAATCACCTAGTAGCTTGGGATTTATTAACTGATGTCACTCATTTTCTTCTTCTTTGTTTCCATGACTTATGTTAGTAATAAATCCTTTGTTTTTGTATTATTTTTTCTTTCAATAATTCGCCTAGTAGTTCGATGTTCATTAGCTTCTGTCACTTATTTTTTTCGTCTTTGTTTCTATGATTTATGTTAGTTATAAATCTTTTGTTTCTGTTCTGTTTTTTCCTTTCAATAAATCACCTAGTAGCTCGGTGTTTATTAGCTGCTGTCACTTATTTTCTTCTTCTTTGTTTCTATGACTTATGTTAGTTATAAATCATTTATTTCAATTTTCTTTTATTTTCTTTCAATAAATCATCTAGTAGCTTGGAGTTTATTAATTGTTTTCACTCATTTTCTTCTTCTTTGTTTCCATGACTTATGTTAGTTATAAATCCATTGTTTATGTGCTGTTTTTTTTCTTTCAATAAATCACCTAGTAGCTTGGAGTTTATTAACCGATGTCACTCATTTTTTCTTCTTTGTTTCCATGACTTATGTTAGTTATAAATCATTTGTTTATGTGTTGTTTTTTCTATCAATAAAAAATCTAGTAGCTCGGTGTTTATTAGTTGTCGTCACTTATTTTTTATTCTTTATTTCCATGACTTATGTTAGTTATAAATCCTTTATTTATGTGCTATTTTTTTTTAATAAATCACCTAGTAGCTTGAGATTTATTAACTGTGTCTCTCATTTTTCATCTTCTTTGTTTCCATGACTTATGTTAGTTATAAATCCTTTGTTTATGTATTATTTTTTCTTTCAATAAATCACATAGTAGCTCCGTGTTTATTAACTGTTGTCACTTATTTTTTCCGTCTTTGTTTCTATGATTTGTGTTAGTTATGAATTCTTTGTTTCTGTTCCGTAAATCACCTAGTAGATCGGTGTTTATTAGCTGTTGTCACTTATTTGCTTCTTCTTTGTTTTTATGTTTTATATTAGTTATAAATCATTTACTTCTGTTCCTTTTTTTTTCTTTCAATAAATCATCTAGTAGCTTGGAGTTTATTAATTGTTTTCACTCATTTTTTTCTTCTTTGTTTCCATGACTTATGTTAGTTATAAATCCATTGTTTATGTGTTGTTTTTTTCTTTCAATAAATCACCTAGTAGCTTGGAGTTTATTAACCGATGTCACTCATTTTCTTCTTCTTTGTTTCCATGACTTATGTTAGTTATAAATCTTTTGTTTCTGTATTGATTTTTCTTTCAATAAAATCCCTAGTAGCCCAGTGTTTATTAGCTATTGTTTTTGTCTTTGTTTCTATGATTTATGTTAGTTATAAATCATTTGTTTATGTTCCATTTTTCTCTCTCAATAAATCACCTAGTAGCTCAGTGTTTATTAGCTGTTGTCACTTATTTCGTTCTTTTTTGTTTTTATGTCTTATGTTAGTTATAAATCCTTTGTTTTTGGGCCATTTTTTTCTTTCAATAAATCACCTAGTAGCTCAGTGTTTATTAGTTGCCGTCACTTATTTTCTTCTTCTTTGCTTTCATGACTTATGATAGTTATAAATCCTTTGTTTCTGTGTTGTTTTTTCTTTCAATAAAAAATCTAGTAGCTCGGTGTTTATTAGTTGCCGTCATTAATTTTTTATTCTTTATTTCCATGACTTATGTTAGTTATAAATCCTTTATTTATGTGCTATTTTTTTTCCAATAAATCACCTAGTAGCTTGGGATTTGTTAACTGTTGTCTCTCATTTTTCATCTTCTTTGTTTCCATGACTTATGTTAGTTATAAATCCTTTGTTTATGTATTGTTTTTTCTTTCAATAAATCACTTAGTAGCTCCGTGTTTATTAACTGTTGTCACTTATTTTTTCCGCCTTTGTTTCTATGATTTGTTTAGTTATGAATTCTTTGTTTCTGTTCCGTAAATCACCTAGTAGCTCGGTGTTTATTAGCTGTTGTCACTTATTTGTTTCTTCTTTGTTTCTATGTTTTATATTAGTTATAAATCCTTTACTTCTGTTCCTTTTTTTTTTCTTTCAATAAATCATCTAGTAGCTTGGAGTTTATTAATTGTTTTCACTCATTTTTTTCTTCTTTTTTTCCATGACTTATGTTAGTTATAAATCCATTGTTTATGTTCAATTTTTTTCTCTTTCAATAAATCACCTAGTAGCTTGGAGTTTATTAACCGATGTCACTCATTTTTTTCTTCTTTGTTTCCATGACTTATGTTAGTTATAAATCCTTTGTTTCTGTATTGTTTTTT